CGTCTTAACGTCATACATTTGAATCATCAGACGAGAAAGAAAAGTCAGCTCTTCTTCAGAATTTGGAGTGACCAAATGACCGTTATACCGCAGCACACACATGTCCTCCGCCATCTGCCAAGTGCCGTCAGGCTGTGGGTCGTGGAGGTGATAACAACTTGACCCCAAGACAAATCCACCGGGACACCAGGCTTCATCTACGGACGTGCAGTTCATCTCATCTTCACCTCCCACGCAGTCGTCTCGAAAATCACAACGAATGTGTGCAGGGAGAGAGTGTTCATAGCCCGAACAGTTGAGTACAAATTTGTCAATTATTGGAATGAATGAATCTCTATTGACAGCCTTGTACCACATTTTGAACCTCTTGCTTGCCACATATGATGAGAAGGACACCCTGGCCCGATGACTGGGCAGGGTAAGGCGATAACCATCTATTACACTGTAGTCTTCGTAATAGAAACTCACGTCTACAGCATGATGGTGGTCCAAGTGAGGCTGTCCTTTTGTGGAGACCGTAATAATCTTAGAATACTCTGTGTAGCCAACCTCATAAGACTCGAATGACATCTGAAGGACGCTGTTATTTGATACTTCAATATCCCACTCACACCAACCACCATAATCCAAATAATCCTCACTATAACTGTGCACTTCTTCGTATCCGGGAGACATGATGAATCCAGACTGACCCTCGCTGACCACGGTATGCTGTGACTGGCATGTGTCGCCCCCCTGGTCCATTATGTCGCACTTCCGGTATTCTAGGGTAAAGGAAATGGCATCACGACATAAGATGTTGCTTTCTATTTGCACGACGAAAAATGCAAAATCCGACCAGACTTTAAATGGCTTTGGGACCTCTGTGCCACAGATTTCATAATTAGGGTCATAAAATTGCACTCGACTGTCTTTACACGTATAAGACCCGTCTGGGTTGATTATGAGAGGAGAAGGAACGTTAAGCTCCAGAAATTCTAGAATATACCCCGATCCCAGGGGCGCCATAATGCTGAAGAGGATCTCGCAAAAGGTTGCACAGCATGGCGACCGGAAGTGGAAAACTCCCCTTGCCTCTCTGAACTGTAATCCGGCCTCTGAGCCACACCTGATGTCCTCAGGGATATTGACGTCCTCGGGGATAATGTTGATGTCATGAGCGTTAGCATAGAAGTTACACTTGCACTGCGATCGATGTATTTGTTCAAATTGGAAGTGCGTACTGTTGTCCGTAGTTTTCTCACAGTTTTCGTCCAAGTTGCCGTTCTCAGGACTTTGTCGTTTGACCCTCCCCAACCCATCTCGTGAACGAAATCTGGACAGATGGTCAAGTTGTGTTAAGCGGTGCCCACTTCTAACTGACGGATGGTCAAGTTGTGTTGGGCTGTGTTCACTTTTAACTGACGGATGTTCATCAAGTTGTGTTAAGCGGTGTCCTACTTCTAACTGACGGTTGTTCATCAAGTTGTGTTAAGCGGTGTTCACTTGTAACTGACAGATGGTCAAGTTGTGTTAAGCGGTGTTCACTTCTAACTGACGGTTGTTCATCAAGTTGTGTTAAGCG